GGAGCCCGTCCCGCCAGAGCCGCCCCGCCGCGGGTCGCCGCCTCCGCCCGCGCACTTCACCGCTGCCTCGCCGCGGGTCGCCGGGAGCCTCCCAGCCGCGGGAGCCCATCCCGCCAGAGCCGCCCCGCCACGGGTCGCCGCCTCCGCCCGCGCCCTTCACCGCTGCATCGCCGCGGGTCGCCGGGAGCCCGTCCCACCAGAGCCGCCCCGCCGCGGGTCGCCGCCTCCGCCTGCGCCCTTCAACGCTGCTTTATCCATAGGAACTGGAGTTCAAGAAGCAACACTACTGAGCTTGATTTCTCCTGTGACCATTGCAAAGAGGTGAATTACATTTTGGGCATATGTTCATGTATTACTATTCTTGATTGGAGCTATAGCTTTTTTGGTAATTTGATAACACCACGAGCAGTAATCGTGTTTGAAAGCCAAAAACATACAGAATGTGTAAACTCTTTTGATGTACTGTCAGTTTAGGAGCAAAGTAACCATTAGTAAACAGTCTAGGAAATCTGAATGCATCTGCACGTCAATGTGATCTTCTGTTCATCCCTTGTACTGCTTCTAACATTGATGGGTTTTTGCGGACAATGTTTTAATGCTAGCTGTTGTAAGTAGTCACTGTGGTTTCAGCATGATGCTTGCTGTATGGAGTTTGCTATCAGTTTGACGCATAAGCCTTTCGAAATTAATTCAACTTGACTGAATTTTACTTTCCTCTCTTCTCTCATGCTTAAATTTCTTGCGTGTGTTTAGTATGATGCGCAAGAGAGTTGATGCTCGCCGCGTTCCAACTCTGAGGGATGTGCATCCACACGAAATGGAGTTTATGTCTCAGAGTATACCACAAATTCCACATTGAACGAATTGGCTTTGGGAGGAAGAGACTAAACTTGGTCGTGTTGGACACAGAGGTAAAGCTTGGGACATCTTTTTTTCCTATAATGATTAACCATTTTGTTTATTCCTTGGAATTTTAAGCTGAAAATAGTAGGAGAAGTGCCTAATATGCTATAAAGAACAGAGTGGCAAATACATTAAAAAAAGACAGGGAGCACAAGAAAAAGTATTCACCTTTGTACATGGTCTGTATGCTTTTCTCTGCAAACAAAAAAACGTGTTTTATGTTTCCGCTCATTGATTTCAGCATACCTGAAAACAGATGCAACTCCACCTTCCTCTGGTACAAAACTGGAAAAAGTAGGAAATAAATTTCTCGGTCTCATTTCCCTGTACTTCACAGTATTAAACACCACGTCCACCAAGAGTAACATATAATTCCACAGCCTTGATTGCAGCTTTACCAGCTTCATCCTTTTCATTAGATACGTCATTGACAAATGAGATAAAAAAAAGAGAGAGACACCACAGCACCTCCGCCCGTCACTCTTGATGCATTTTCCACTCTGCCACCGCTCTTGACGCGGTATCAGCTCTGCACCACTCCTGGTGGCCACGGTGTCTCTCTCGGCCGCCATGCCCTACCTCCGCTGTCGTCGCCCTTTGATGCGATGTCCATCCCGCTGTACCTCGACTGTCACTGCCCTATCCTCCATTGTATTGTTTTTGATTCTCTATGAGGTAGCCATTTTTTCACGTGAAGGTGAGCGGATTCGGCTCTATCAAGATCAATCTATTTATAACCTATTTATTAAATTTGCAGTTTATGCCTGCTAGGTCATTTATGGAGAGTGATGTACATGCAGATAATACAAGGGTGCATTTCTCTTACTGTCAAGAAGAAGGTATATTTCTCTTAACATAATAATGATACTGAAACTTTTTGCCCTTTCTAAATGTAAAATCGAGTCATTGATGTCGCATTGTTCTTTGGGTCTGATTGTCCTCATAAACTGACACCATGATAAGAGAAGATTCATGTGAATTATAAAGCATCTTAGCACCACTTTTCTATTTATTAATGTCACTGAAAGTATGCTTTCTCAAGTGTTGATTCACAACTGCATATGACATCTCTCATAGTAATGCGTTACGGACACCATCTGAATTAGTAATGATATATAATTTCAGTAGCCCACATGACCACAATTTGTTAACCTCTCTTTTGCATGTGCTGGCAATTTTAATTTTGCTATGAAGATGTAGAATTGACTTTTGTAGAATAAAACAAGGTTCCAGAGGTACGTAAGCAATTACACTGTAAAGCAATTGACATTTTCCATTCTCTGGATGCACTTTAAGTGAAGACTATACTTCGTACAGCGGGCTGCTATTCTTGTTAGTGTTACAAATTCAGTTCTCAACTTCTCATATGAGAATGTGTTGACTAAGATCCCTCACTGCCTTGTACATCTTTCATTTGTGACTAATTTTGTGTTCATGCTTTCTTTAGATTTAGGTGGAATTCTGTTCACCGAACAAATCTTCCTTTTGGCGATTGGAGACAAGGAGGTAGAACGAGTTCTTCCTGATTAATTGGCATGTTTGCTACATTGAGCCCCTATTTTCTGTTTGATTAAATTTACTAAGCATGGTCTGTCAGCTTATACTTTCTATTTCTTGGTGATTTCTTGGTGATTTCTTTGCTCAGTTAAACTTATTGCACATATGAGAGCCATTGCCAATCTTTATTAGTTTTCCTTTTTTCAGTTGAGTGGAAGGTTTTGGTTCGGCAGATTGTTCTTCACTATATTAGTGAGTGCCTACCTCTTTCATAGTAAGCTTAATTTACACATACATAATTCGGTGCGTAGGCTGACTTGGACTCTAGCCTAATTCACATATATACTATGTGTCCATATATATCCGCTTGTGGACAATATACAACATGTTTTGTGTCCAAATCCGCTTGCAGATAATATATAACATGATCTGTTACTCACTTTTCAGTTACATTACAAGAATAGTTGCGAAGGCCATCCAGTTTGTTACATGGTTTTCTAATTATTTATTTTGCAGTATTATTTTTTGTTACAGGGATAGGAAGAATAAGGAATGTATGTTGCAAGGTGTTTTGCTACATGTTATATTATCCTCTGTATTTTGGCTCAAATGTCCAAAAATTAATGTAGAGCATAATTGATGAGAATTAGCAGCATGGCAATCCGATCCGCTTGAAATAAGCATCATTCATTCACAAAAGATCAACTTGGCTTGCCATTTATGTCCTCAAAATTATGAAAATATATGAAACTGACCCAAAAGCAAATGAATGTTAAACAAAGTTTAAGTAGTACTTTGAGAATCCAATGTGCAACTACTTTATGCAATGCAGATTTCAGATTTGATTTTGATGTTGAATCTCAACTTATATTTCAGTGTCAGATTTCGTCATCAAAATAGTCTTCTGCGGAGAAATGGCACAATCTTCTCATGCCATTTCGTGGGAGTAACACAACTGCACAAGTAGCACAGATGCAGCGAGGCCACTCTATGACGGAGTGGAGCGGAACACTGGATCGGTTCAATAAATTGAAGATTAAAGAGTGCATGATAGCATGATATAACTCATGTCCATGGTAGGTAAACCTTCTGATTGCATGGTTTTCTTTAAGTGACCCACTAGATAAGATTTGATTATTTCAACCTTGAACCGGTGGGTTTCTACGGAACTATGTATGATTTAAACAATGGTTGAAATTATTTATCTGAGTTTGTTTCAAACAAATAAATTTGTATTGGAAGACAATTTCATACTTTCAATATGGATACTGAAGGATATAACTATATTATGGGTGATATATATGTTGATAGTACGATTTCAATGTGTGCTTGATTACTATTATACTCCCTCTCCACCCCATAATATAATATTGTTTTGTGAGCTAAAACAGCTTGCAAAACGATGTTATATTATGGGATGGAGGGAGTAGTTAACATATATTAAACTTTTTGGTGAAACTGTGCAACTCTGTATGGTTAGTATGTACTCCCTCCGTTCGGAAATACTTCTCGGAGAAATGGATAAAAATGGATCTAGAATGGATCTAGAACTAAAATACGCATATATATGTTCATTTCTTCGACAAGTATTTTCGAACGGAGGGAGTACTGTTTATGTTATCTGAGTATTTTTTGATAGAGGGAGTACTATTTATGTTTGTCAAGACGTGCGTTGCACGTGCACGCTTACTAGTGCTTTTATAGGGGTAGTAGATAGATTAAAATATTAGACCCGATGGGTGCCCTGTTGGGTCGGGTGACCCGTCGAGTACAGGCGTGGGTCTCTTTCTCTACCCATGGGCAGGGTCATGGGCAGACAATGCACCCGTATAATAATCGGGCGTGGGTCTGAGAAAGCTCGACCCGGTCAAACCCGACCCGACTGCCAGGTTGATTCACGCCCATCTAACATATTATTGGACATTTCTTTTTGTTCAATTTGAAGTTATCTTGCATGTTTCTACGAAAATTTTAGAACATAGAGAAATAGAATTGATATATCATTGAAGACTATTTGTAGTACTACACGATAGATGAGATGAAATATGAGAAACAGCTACCCGTATTCAACCACGACGAAACAAAAAAAAATCTCTGAATCAGATGATAGAGCAAATTGCATGGCAAAGGGGAAACAAAGACCCAACTAAACAAGGGCGTATAGGTATTTCAGGAAATCCTAGCAATCATATTGCACTGGCATATTTGTCCAGATCCGAAATGCACCAACTATATGTCATGATATACATTATGCACCGTGAAAACAATACCCAGGGCCTAACTAAAATCAAGAGCTTGGATGGAGCTGAAAGGAAACGATTAAAATAGTTGAATCACAAATTATTTATTTCATATTGAATAATAGCATTCGTAGTGGGGAAAATAGTAAATTATACTAGGAGTCCGTAAACCTGAACCGTAAGTTCACTTTTGTCGATTAAGTTGAAAATTGAAGTGGAGTGGGTGAGGTTATCATTTGCAGGGTTTGTTGGTGTGGCAATGACGGTGGCTTCCCTTTGCAGTTTTGTGCTCAGGCTTCTTCTCCATCACGTTGGTGCATCCTCCTGTGCTAGCATGGGGCATGTAAAGCGTTTTTGGAGTTTGGGATCTTGGATCTTCCGACAGCGACAAATGTTTCTTGTGAATTTATCATGAAGAGAGGGCCATTTCAACTTGAGTATTTTCATAGGAGTTCTGAAGGACTTCAGGAAAAAAAAATTATCAATGAGATTCAGATATATATATTAAGATCACCAAAACAACCATAAAATGCTCTCATGGACTAATTATATATTATTTTTAGAGAGAGAATCGATCTCATTGAGGTTTATTCAAACTTGTATTTGTGTGTTGCATGTTTGTAATCCTATCCCACTTGAAAATTCAGTGGATTATCTATTGAGCCTAGTTGCATCGATCTTTCCATCTGATAATAACTATATGGCTTATGTAGTGGTCATGGTTGGTACTAAGGTTGACGACTAGAGACTCATTGAGTGATAACTTTTGTCTTGATGTGTGCAAATTTCGTAGTCTAGTTCACTACCCTGTACATAACTAGTTAGTTATTCTTATGTGTATTAGTTTGATATGATGCTGTCAAGGACCTCGGTGCCCAAGACAGCAGGACCTCGACTACGTAGTTCGTAGTCTCGGTTGATAGGAGCGCTAGGGTTTTTGCCTAACTGCTCAATGGTGCAGGAGAAGAGATTAGGAGTAGAGGAGGAGGTAGGAGATAATGATTTATTGCCTGCGTCCAAGGGTGCAGATTACAGGATATATAAAGGCCTTATGGGCTTCTAACAAACTAGGAAACTAACTACTCCTGGACTCCTAACAAACTAGGAAACTAACTATTCCTGGACTCTAGGAACCAACGTAGGATCAGGACTCCTTGTCCCGATCATGCCTCGCCAGCTGTGGCCGTCGGCTGCTGCCCCTGGGCGCGCGACCCGCGCCTGTACGCAGCGCCCCACATGACATCTCTCCCCCCCTCGACGAGCAGCTCGTCCTCGAGCTGAAAAGCGGGGTAGCGCTCGACAAAACTGTCAAGATCCTCCCATGTAGCTGATGATGCTGCTTCACCCTTCCAGTGGACGAGCAGCTGGCGAACGCCGCGTGCTAGTCGTGCACGAGTCACGCGCTCCGGTTTTGGAACAGCCGCCCCGTTGTGGATCGGAGGCAATCCCGGTGGTGCAGTTGGAGGCGTGCCGAAGAACTTCTTGAGGAGGCCCACGTGGAACACGTCATGGAGGCGCGAGCGTGCCGGAAGCTCAAGGCGGTAGGCCACATCGTTGACGACCTCTGAAATGCGGTACGGCCCATAGAAGCGTGGCTTGAGCTTGCCCCTGGTTGGCAGGTTGGGAGAGGACGCGGCGCGCTGGCGAAGACGAAGCCAGACCCAATCGCCCACGTCATGCCGAATGTCCCGATGGCGTCTGTCGTAGTAGGACTTGTAGACCGCTTGTGCCTGCTGTAGACGATAGCGGACGTCTGCGAGTAACTCGTCGCACTCCGCCATGCTCCTGGCCACTGCGGCCACCCGTGTATCGCCCGGCTCGTAAGAGCGAATAGTGGGAGGGTCACGGCCATACACAAGCTTGAACGGAGTTTCTTGGGTTGATGTCTGGTAGGCGGTGTTGTATATGTACTCGGCCCAGGGAAGCCATCGGAGCCACTGCCTGGGACGATCCCCGGTGAGACAACGGAGATACATCACAATGATCTTGTTAGCAGCCTCCGTTTGGCCATCCGACTGTGGATGAAACGCCGTCGTCATGTGCAGCTTGGTCCCGGTGAGGCGCATGAGCTCCCGCCAAAAAGCCGAGGTGAAGACGGGGTCGCAGTCAGAGACCATGGACTGCGGGACGCCATGGAGACGCACAATCTCAGCGAAGAACACCTGCGCCACTGATTCCGCCGTGTACGGGTGGGCCAGCGCCACAAAGTGGCAGTACTTGCTGAAGCGATCCACCACGGTGAGGATAACAGACTTCCCGCCCACACGAGGGAGCGCTTCTACGAAATCGATGCCGACGTCAGTCCACACGGCAGTGGGCACCGGCAGTGGCAGCAGCAGACCGGCGGGGTGCAAGTGCTCGGACTTGTACCGCTGGCAAGTACCACAGGCGCGGACATACTCCTGCACTGTCTTGCGAAGGTTAGGTGCGTGGAAGTCGCGGCGGAGACGATGCAGCGTGCGCAGGACGCCTTCGTGTCCGTCATCGTGCACTGCGGTGAGAAGCTCCTGGAGTAGTGGAGACGTTGGCGGGACGTAGAGGCGGCCGTTAAAAGTGACGAGGCCGTCGGAGAGCGCCCACGGCAGCTGCCGAGCGCCTGCCGTGATATCCTCGCGCAACGCGACGAGTGCTGGGTCGGTGGACGAAGCGTGCCGTAGGCGGTCGATGAAGTCGAAGTGAGGACCAGATATAACCATGACCCCCGTCTCTTCCGTGTCGCGGCGGGAAAGGGCATCCGCCACCGTGTTTGTACTACCGGCCTTGTACTCCACAGTGAAATCGAACCCCAGTAGTTTGCCGACCCAGTGGTGCTGCGGAATGGTTGCCAAGCGCTGGTCAAGGAGGAATTTGAGACTGTAGTGGTCAGTTTTTACCACAAATTGGCGCCCCCAGAGGTACGGTCGCCAATGGCGAATAGCGAGCACCAGGCCAATGAGTTCCCGTTCATATGCCGCCAGAGAACGGTGACGAGGCGCGGCCGGCCGGCTGAAGAAAGCCACCGGGTGCTGATCCTGGAGAAGGACGGCCCCGAAACCGTATGTAGACGCGTCACACTCGACGATGAACGGTCGTGTGAAATCGGGCAATGCGAGCACGGGAGCCGTGGTGACCGCCGTCTTGAGGGCGGTAAAAGCTGTTGCCGCCTCCGGCGACCATGAGAAGCCGTCCTTGCGAAGCAGGGCCGTCAGGGGCGCGACGACCACGCCAAACTCCTTGACAAACTTGCGGTAGTACCCTGCAAGATCGAGAAACCCCCGGACCGCGCGCGCCGAGCGAGGCTGCGGCCAGTCGGCCACGGCCTGCACTTTTTCCGGATCCATGGCCACTCCGGCCGCGGAGATGGTGTGACCCAGGTAGGAGATCGACTCGATGGCGAACGAGCATTTGGACCTCTTGATGAAGAGCCGGTGCTGGCGCAGTACGGTAAAGATGGTGCGCACATGGCGAAGATGATCGGCCCACGACTCGCTGAATATGAGGATGTCGTCGAAGAAGACGAGAACGAAACGGCGCAGGTACGGCCGCAGCAGATCGTTCATGAGTGCCTGGAACGTCGCCGGCGCGTTGCAGAGGCCGAACGGCATCACCAGGAACTCGTAGAGGCCGTCGTGGGTACGGAAGGCAGTCTTTGGGATGTCCTCCGCACGCATCCGCACCTGG